CGAAGAAACTTTTTTCCCTGACAGTATGCCTTCTTTAACCTTCTAAAACAGTCTGATAAGGGACAGGAATACTTTCTCTAAATACACTTGTGATTTAAGGGCTAGAAAGGGAGGAGAATAATGTGATCAAGTAGGTGTATATTGGTCATGAGTTAATTCAGATTGCTGATTTAAAAAAAAAAAGCATCTGTTAGGACAGAGAGACTGTGGTACAGCTGTCTGGGGAAAAGTGCTGGCAGCAGGATCCTACTTATTTGCAGCATCCACTTCGGTGGAAGCAGCTGTGTGACAGGACAGGAGTGATTCAGGAGTTAGAAATCCAGGCTTCAACACAAGACTGATGCTATCCAATTTTGTGGTATACCTGAGAGACATTTGAGAAAAACCCTGTCAGTGTTTTGCAGGCCGCTCCTTATTCATTTATTTAACTAAAGTCTTTCTTCAGGACTTGCACTGGTTACCTGCCTTTTTGTTTTCCCTCTTGTTGTATGATTTGGCTCTGGGTCAGCTTCAGTTTCCACTTTGCTCTAAGGCACTCAGGACAGGTGACACAGCCAGATGTCCTCTGAGGGGTGTCACCAAATTTCAGTTATGCCACTGGCTGGTGCAGCTGGCTTGGGCCCACCTAGTGTTATACAGTTTGCCAGCTCAGCAGGTAATTTTCAGAGGAAAGACTGATGGGGATTGCTGTCACCTCCTGCTGTGTGTCAGGTGTGACTGACGTCCGAAAATCTCTCAGGAATTTTTGCCAAACACAGTTTCTCTTTAGGGGCTTAGGACATTGTTGACACTCTTAACATCTTCTCTTTTTCCCTGGCAGACTGAAATTTTTATGGGGTTTGGTGCCTTACATAGAAGGGGCTAAAGTATTAGTGAGTGTTGGGGTTTTTCCTGTAGCATGACAAGGTCTCAGGTTCTTATTGCTCCTATCCTTAACTCCTACTGCATAGCTTCTTGCAAGAATGGAAGGCTTAGGCTCAGTAACCTATACCTCTTTTTCCAATCTGAAGATAATGAATATATCCAATACGCCCTCCTTAAATACCAAAACATGGTACAAAATATGCAGAAGACTTTAAAGAGAAATGGGGTTATTTCTACTTTATCCTCAGAACTGCATCCTTTATACTGAACTGCATCCTCTTGGTCTTCTACCTCATCTGTGCCAGCAGTGGAAGAAACTAATTTCAAGATGGAGGACACCAGAAACTACAGGCCTGTTAGTCTCACTTCAGTGTCAGGTAAAGTTATGAAGAATATTATTCTAAAAGTATTGAAAGATGCCTGAAAGACAATGCAGTCTCTGGTCACAGCCACCATGGCTTCATGAGATGAAAATCTTGCTTATCAAATTTCCTTTTATGACAAGGCCACCCACCTGGCTGATCAAGGAAAGCCAGTTGATATAATCTTTTTGGATTTCAGTAAAGCTTTCAATACTGTCTCTCACAGGATACTTCTGGACAAAACGTCCAGCACACAGCTGGATAAACACATCATGTACTGGGTGAGCAATTGGCTCATGGGTCAAGCACAGAGGGTAACAGTGAATGGGGTAACATCAGACTGGTGACCTGTCACTAGTGGGGTTCCACAGGGCTCCATCTTGGGCCCTCTGCTCTTCAACATCTTCATAAATGACTTGGATGCAGGACTGGAAGGGACACTAAGCAAGTTTGCAGATGACACAAAACTCGAAGGAGCTATTGACTCCCTCGAAGGCAGGGAGGCCCTGCAGGGAGAGAGACCTCAACAAATGAGAGGACTGGGCAATCACCAACCAGATGGAAAGTGCTGGATTCTGCACCTGGGATGGGGCAACCCTGGATGTACCTACAGACTGGAGTTCTGGTCAATGACAAGTTGAATATGAGTCAGCAGTGCCCTGGCACCCAGAAGGGCCAACCGTGTCCTGGGGGCATCAGGCACAGCATCGCTAACCGGTCAAGGGAGGGGATTATTCCTCTCTGCTCTGCAGTGGTACAGCCTCACCTGGAATATTGCATGCAGTTTTGGGCACCACAATAGAAAATATTAAGCTCTTAGAGAGCATCCAAAGGAGGGCGACAAAGATGGTGAAGGGCCTTGAGGGGAAGCCGTATGAGGAGAGGCTGAGGTCACTTGGTGTGTTCAACCTGGAGAAGAGGAGATTGAGGGGAGACCTCACTGCAGTTACAACTTCCTTGTGAGGGGAAGAAGAGGGATAGGTACTGATCTCTTCTCTGCGGTGACCAGGGACAGGACCTGGGAGAATGGCCTGACTTTGTAACAGGGAAGGTTTAGGATGGATATTAGAAAAAGGTTCTCCACCCAGAGGGTGGTTGGGCACTGGAACAGGCCCCCCAGGGAAGTGGTCACATCATCAAGCCTGGCAGAGTTCAAGAAGTGTTTGGATGATACTCTCAGGCACACGCTGTGACTGTTGGGGTTGAACCTGTGCAGGGCTTAGAGTTGGACTTGATGATCCTCGCGAGTCCCTTCCAACTCGGCATATTCTGTGATTCTGTAATTTGTGAACCTCTCTGCTGTTTAGGGCAAACTAGGCCTAAAGGAAGATGGAAACATCACTAACAGCCCCAGCCTTTTGGCAGAGTTTTGAGTGATTTGTACAAGCAGAGGAAGGGAGTCCTTATTTTCTCCACTGTTCCTTGTGCTGTTGCATAAAGGCAAGTAGGTTATACAATAACTAAATAGGGATTACACAACTGAGCTCCATAAATCTAAATCAGAAACACAGTCCCTATCCTGCACTGGACAAACAAAAACGTGGAAGGGTGAAGTTCTGGTCCTAATGAAGTTAATGGCAAAACTTTTGCTTAGTCTTGTGAGATCACAGTTTCATCCAAAATCTTGTCTCAAGCCTGTAGTTGGCTGACCAGGCTGGATATTTAAAGCATATCCCTGTTGAGTTTTTCCAAGTACTGGACAAGATGACTTCTTTTTTTCTTTTTTTTTTTTTTTTTTTTTTTTTTCTTAAGCTTTTTGCTTATGATAAAGAAATGCAGAAAATATTTTAAGACCAAGTACTAAGCAACCACTTGCAAACCTGAACTGGAAGACTAAAAGGCCCTGATACATTATCTCTGAGTGCAAGAACAAATAATAATAAAGTAATTGTTTCCATGATTCAGCGTCAATACTTTAAAGCACTGAAAGCTGCTTTGAAGCAATACCTGTGTATCTGAGCGAAAGACAGGAAACTGACCTGTGGAGGCTGGGAATCAAACAACAAAAACCAGTCACCAACCAAACAAATAAAAGCCCCTAATGAACCTGAGACCTAAGCTCTGCAAGTAAATAACTTTGTGAAAGGATTCTTTGTGCTACAAGGACTACAGTGCAGCATAGTGTCGCTGGAGCTGTTTGGCACGCAGACCAAACCAATTATTTGACAGTTGTTTTACTTTGGCCTGGGGTGTACAGCAGTTCTGGGTAAGAAAAGTCTTTGCAGTTTCTTCATGTCCCCAGGCTTATCTGGTCTGATTATTGAAAACTATTGCTGTTACAGTGGATGCTAGCATGTACATCAGGGCTTGCCCCACCTACAAGACTCCTGCCCAATGAAAAAGAAAGGAAAAAAGAACTGGGGAAAAAGAAAAAAGCTTGCACAATCAGGGCCACACATCACATGCATTCCCAGCCCAAGGCTTAGCTCTCTCCCCGTCTTCCCTGAGGTATCTCTCAAGAACTGAGCTGATTCAATGCATAATGTCGTTTACAATCTAACAGTGCACAGTGACTTGGGATCATCCTTATCTTACAGAAGCAAGTGATAAATAATAATCTTGGGCAAATCTAACATCATGACTGGGTGGCAGGATCCCGAAAAACCAATTCCAGTGTATCAATAAACACAAATGCCAAACCATTTATTGCAGAACATTTTGGAGTTGTGTAAATCCCTCCAACAAACATCAGAAAAAACTGTCAGGGTTGGGGATGAATTGCTTCTCCATACGTGTTTAAGCCTGAGCAGTTAAAAAGACTTAGCCTGCTACAAACAACTGGCTATGGTAGGTCAGTGCCATTCCAGTATTATCGCTGACTTAGGCCTGCCATGGATGTAATTCTCCAGGCAACCATCTGGGAAGTTATCATTGCCTTGACTATTTCATGACCAGGCTCTGATCAGCTCACATATGGCCCAAGCAGGGCAAGCCAAAACCTCACAGGCTCAACTGTAACTTCCAGCTTTTATCACTGTGAAATACGATGGTGTGGCAGGCTGTGGCTCTGTCCCGCCTCTGCACCAGTTACGAACCAGCTGGAATATGAGAGGCCAGATAAATGATCCTTTTTTTTTTTCTTACTGTGTAGAACAAATTAACTACCCAGCTTGAAGTTTCATATCCAACCATCTCCCTGAAAGCTTACACCATCAACTTGGATGTAGCCATGTTATTTTACATTATCCCCTCTGACACTTGTTTACTTCCTTCTCCCTTCATTCATGTTTATGTCTTTTACTAACACTTCTTTACATTTACCTGCTGATATGGTTTGAAGCTGGCTCCCTGCCAAGTCTCCAAACCTTACCACAAGAAGTTCCCCCCCCCCCAAACCTCAGGGAGAAGAGGGAGAAAAACAACCAAGAAAAACCGAAACGAGAGAGAGAGCTAAAGCAATATATATATAAATATATTTACACTTATGTTACAGGTATATACAATTGAAATATATATACAATTTCACAAGGGAATGGGAAGGGGGAAGGGAAAAAGGAACAAAACCAAAATAAAATATATATATATCCCGATTAGTAGCCCAATATCTAACAACTAAAAGAGTTAGCAAAGAAATATCTCACTACTCTCCTTGGGACAACCGAGAGTCGCTCTGGAACGCTTGCCGGCAACCTCCGCCTCCCAAGGTCGGCAAGGCCCAACCAGGCCTCGCTCCCCAACACGGCAGACTCAACAGCAGGGAACCTGCACCTCCAAGCTGCCAGAAGGAAAGAGGGCAAAGGCCTCTCCTCCTTTCTTCTTATAGCCTGGCTTACGTAAAAATCGTAGGGAATACTGGGTAAATCTGGACCCTTCCTTGGTTACAAACTGGTCACCAAGGAAGGCCTAGGCCAAACTACCACACCTGCCCCCCTTACTTGTTCCCTCCCTCACATCCATGATTGCACCCTCTTCGCACTTCCTTTTCCTTTGTTACATAGTGGACCACACAAAACCCCTCCTTGACCTCAAAAGTAAGTGATGATGATGGAGAGAAGAAGAAAAGAAGAGAGTGATTCTGTATAANAGTGGAAAATGCAGTGTACCCCTTGAATGAGGTCTTTTGAGAGGTATTGAAGGACTATCCGGGTTACGCAGAATTTCCTTTGGTGAACTGTTGCTTTCTCCAGGTCATGGGTCTTGTTCTAAATCCATGTTTCACTGGGTAGAAGATTTGCTTGAATACTCATGTGTAAGACTCAAGGATTAAATCCAGAGGTATATGAGCAGGTAAGATGATGCCAGAGTCAGTACATTATCGTGCATCTAAGTCAGGCCTCAGTTGTTTCCTGGAAGCTCCTACGATTACTGAGCTTCTATCCCTTTTTGCAGGTAGTTTTTATGTAGCAGGGAGTTACTATTTTTTTCCAAAAATAAGCAGTGCATATGTTTAAAAATGCTGCCTCTGATTGTAAAGATCTTTGCAACAGTCACTATTCAGCATACACATTCATTCTTAAGTGTAACAACTAACATGGTAAACACTGAAGTACAGAACAGAGATGCCTTCAGTCCCAACAAGTATTGCAAAAATGCAATATGCAAAATCAGATGCAAAATAAGAAACCTTGGCCCTTGGTGTTCACTGGTGTCCTTGCACACAGAGGCACTGATTACCATCCTGTATATTTTTTCTAAGTTCTAAAGTGCAGTCAGGCTTGTTTTACATTGATCAAATAACTCGAAGTGCCAAGTTTCCAAAATAACAATTTATAAGAGGAATCTGGATCATATGCTTACTAAATACTAGGTTTGTCTTTGAAAGAAAAGACCATTAACAGGGGAGACTTTCTTCTCAGTTGTCAAGTGAATCAGCATTCATCAATAATTCTTGTGTGTAGCTTCCCTGTTCAGCCTCAGCCAGATGTAGAGACAATTTCTTTCCAGACATCTCACAAACACTGATGCTGAGGTGACACTCTCCTTTACTAACACAGCAGCCCAAATTGAGTGGCTAAGAAAGAGGCCTTTATTTTATCTCTAAGGAATTCACTGGCAACAAGTCATGTGAGAGGCAGATACATAACATGTGGTTAAAGATGATGAGTTAGTTTATCTTACAGGATAAACTCTAGGGTTTGTAAATTAACATCTTGGCCACAGATTGCCTTTCCCAAGCTACAAACACCTGACAGCTTAAGTTCCAATCATGAAATTACAAATGTGATAGCAAACAACAAATGCTGTCAACTACATGACTTGCCACATAGCACCAAGACAGTGTCAACAACAGTAATTAATGCACACAGTTATGTTTATCCCAGCAATTCTAGAAGGTCTTTGGAAACTTCAGACATCATTTTATGGCAACCACATTCAGCAAAACCAGCAAGAATGAACAAGCGCAACCAGTTATTCCTACCCTCTGCAAAACAACTTTTCAACCATAAGAAGTAGGTCTAAAGCCCTGGTTGAAGGCAGGAAAAGCTTAATGACAGCTTTTCAGGTGCTGAGTGTATAAAAATTTCTCACCTAGTTTCTTTTTGAGTAAAATAACTGGTCATGCTGTTGTCCAGTACTTACACTTTCTCTAGTTAACTGAAACATTCTAAATCTCCCCAAAGTCAAAATTTCCATTTGTCTTTGCAATATTTAAGAACATATTTTAATAACTTCAAAGTGTTGAACCAAATTCAATTACCAACTCTTCATTTTCGTCTGCTGCTTTTTCTTCACTAAAGCCAATGCAAAATTTTTGCCCAGAGAAAAAGACCTTTCTGTGAGTTATTATCAAAATCTAAACCCAACATATATAAAAAACAAGACATAACAATCTTACCCTAACTCTCCAAATTTACCAAAACTTTTTAACTCAAAACCAGGTTCTCCATATGCCAGCCTCTAAATTACTTGACAGACAGATGGTTGAGTATAAAAGCAGAATCAGTCACACCAATGTGGTAATAAGACTGAACAAGACCTAGGTTATTTCCTATTACAGCAGTTCACTTACCCGATAGTAGTCTGTGCTGTACACATCTCTAGACATCCCAAAATCCCCAATCTTCACCAGTAGGTTTTCACCAACCAGACAATTCCGGGTAGCAAGATCCCGATGCACAAAGTGCTGTGATGCCAGGTAAACCATACCAGATGCAATCTGCTGGGCAATGTGAAGCATCTGGGATTGGGTCAGCTCAGCAGGACGGTTGCCTTCTGCCATCAGTCCTGCATCTGGTCCATGCGCCCTGCACCAAAACACAAGTGGATAAACTTGACAGGCCACTTGTAAAATGGAGAGGTAAAGGGCATTAGTGAGTTTAAATCCACACAATGCAGTCAAAAGGGCTACAAATTCCTTGGTGAAATAGGGAAAAAATTGTATCTTGACTTTTTTCATTTGCTGTTTCCTTCATTGTGGGAAAGATAGGTGGTGTGAAGAGCCTTACACAATAAGATATGTATTACTCAAGGAAATAAGGCACATGTGTTCACAATAATACCCATCTGTCAGAAAACACCACCTTTCTCCTGTTCCAATCTAGTAATCCAGAGAAAGGCTGACAAAAGCACCTGTTTAGTAACACTAAAAGTGTGAAAGACAATTGAGGGAAAGGCAATGAAGTGGTATGCATAGCATCACCTTTCCTATGACTGGCATGCCTTGATTTCTAGAGGGAGAAACGACATTGACCCCTTCCATCTTTTCTTTAAGAAGTAAAAGCTCACTTCCTTCTGAGAAACAAGGGCAGCAATCTTAGATTTATACTTCTAGTTTCCTATCCAAATGCACAGAAGGAAAGAATTTTTGCTTATTTCATCACCAAGGGTGAGTCCTATCTGAGGTGGGAATTCCTGAGGATAGGATGAGGACACAAAACACACATTATTTGAAACAGAAAAAAAAAAGTTTCAGAAATACAAGGTAGCAAGTCTCTAAGATGCAACAATCAACTGATTAAGGAGAATACTTCTATGCACTCCAGCAAAAACAGAGAAGTTTTGCATTAGAAAGGCCCAGCGAAGTACTGGGACACATGTGCTTCACCCGTCTTAACTATGTTAGCTCTGAAATGCACGTACATCCTAGTATCTTGAAGATACTATATGCACAACATTTTACAGTAAGAATTACTAGCTAATCCTTATCCAATCAGCAGGATCATCTGGCAATCATTCTTCACTTGATACAGCTTATAATATTCTGAATACCCTTTCCCTTTCATTGAATTTTCCTGTGTTTTCAGAAGCCTTTTTTATTCCTTTTCTGAAGACTATTCTTTCTAAGAGACCACCTCTCTTTTTCCCTCATCAACTTTTGCTTTTGAAAAATGCTCTAGAACTGATTTTTATTTCCTCTCAAAGCCCTTCCCTCCTATAAAGGGGAGTTTCAGAGAATTGCCTTCCTAATCAACAGAGGTGAGGCCTTAATTTATCTCTAGGGGAAGGGTGCAGGAATTTGGAAAAGAGTTGCAAATTAATCGAATCTGTGAGATCAGTTCTGACACTACCTATCAGAAACATAATATTAAAATTGCCCCAAAGGAAGAATTTCATGAGAAAAGTGACACAAAAGAAAATGGAGGGTGTGTAGCACTGCTGGGACTGCATCTGGTACCAGGCAAAGCCAGTTCTCTGCCACAGGGTATGTACATGCAGCCATTCACCTGGTGTGGTTGGTAGAGGGGAATAAATGGGAGGATAAGAAATCTCCAACTAAAACTCACAGGCAAATTCCTACTGAAACACATTGTACCTTTATCATGCATGGATTTTTTAATAACTGTTCTCAGACATGAAACTCTGAGTAGCTAAATTAGAGAACTCAACACATTTTGCTAGCCTTCATGAGAACATGGTCTGTGTCTAATGAAACTTTTAGATTATTCCTAATGCTCCATCCACTTTGCTTGTTCTCTTGGTGCTGGTCATAAATGAGGTGATCCTCAGTGTCTACAACAGCCAGGAACATTGACAGAGATATTCTCTGCAACGACAACAGACTCCACTAGTCAGAACAAGCACTGGGCAGGCATGACTTTGAGGCTTTAGTCCTAGACCTACACAGCCTTTGGCTGCATGCAGACAGCCAGGCTCATTTGGGTTAAACTTTTGGATCAATTTTTCCCCAACAGCCTTTGGCGGCGCTGCAGGGTAAGAAATACAGGCTCTTTTAGCCTGCTTTGCTACAAACCTGTGGTCTGCAGCACAAGCTGCAGCAAATATGAGAGGAAGGACAAACTGGAGCAGAGGTTTAACAGCTTGTCCCAGCATAATCACTTTATGTAGGAAATATACTGTCTGCTGAACTACTTTTCTGTACAATAATTCAAAATCAGAGTTAAAAGGTAAGAAAAGGCCAATCAAAAAGAATCAAAGCTTAAGTATTTCTTATGAAATAAGAAATTATTTCTCATCAGCTGAGAATCTGGCTTCTTCTAATGGAAATTCAGTGTTCTTTAAACATACTGGAATGGCATCTAGGGAAATTGCAGTTTCCCCAAACTTCTGATCCACAGCAGAAGACCAATCAGGCCAATATAAATGCCCTGAATTCTTAAATATATTTAATTCCTCTGCCGGAGAGACAATCAGTCTGGGAAAAGTAGCAGCCTTTGCTCTGCATCCCCAGTTCAGAACCCAGTCTCCAGGCCAAACTTGTCAGCCCTGCCAATAAGGGAGCATGCTAGTTGTTGTCACTGGTTTTTATGATGTGGCTATTTGTTCAAGTGATCAGAAAGACAGCAAACTCGTTTCACATAGGCTACCAAAAGTGCATATATGGTGACACTAGTAATCACTAGTCATTTCAACCAGACAGAAAACATGAACACACTTAAAGGGACATCAGGTTTGATTGTTCTACAGCTTTGTTACAGATATCTTTCCAAAGTGGTGGTAACTTCTAGTTATCTTCAGCAGGAGAGACCTCTGTATGTTGAAATGTCTTTTGATATGATGAAATGATATATTTTGATGAAAATGACATAGAAGGCGCTGAAACAACAGTCCCTTATACTTTTAATATAGTAGCAAAAGCTATGCCTTAACTGCTTATTTTTATGTTAATGAGTGCAGGCTAGTGGAAATAGCATATATATGAAGCCTCTGTTCACAACTTCCGGGTTCATAAGTTACCTATTGTTGTGAATCTTAGGTACCATTTATTTATTTATGACTGCTTTACTGTCAAATTTCAATTTCTGATGCACATTCCTGAACAGTTTTATGAAATAAAGCCCTAATCCAGACCCCAAGATGCAGCATTTTCCAATTCACAGAAGCTTCCATGGCTCACATTTTTTTTGCTGTAGACTTATGGTAGTCTTTCCAAAACACTGAGAAGAGGGAAGAGAAAAGGGTTTAGACCTCAAAAGCTCTTAGACGCCTACAGATAGTGATAGATGTTGAGTGGGATCTTCCAAGTGCTATCAGAAAGCCTGCAAGAAAATGATTCCTACTGTAGGATTTATAACCAAACATTTCAGAATACACTGAAATATATTGGAAACAATATTTCTTTGGTTCACATTTGTTTGGTAAAAAGCATAAGGCTTGACTTAATGGTACTTCCAAACAGGCAAAGAGACAGAGCCCCACATCCCAGTACAGAAGATGAGAGTCACACAGTTTGTACTCCTAGATGTCAGTATTTGCCAGTGGTAGTAGTTAATTTGACATTAAGTACCAGTAACACCTACCTTCTCTGCCCACTTTTGGCTCAGCAGCACAATATATGTTCATGGGTTTACCTGAGGAATTTGTTAAGATCTCCATGCTTCATATATTCAAAGACCATGATGAGCGGATCACCCTCAACACAGACGCCATAAAACTTGACAATGTGCTCATGCTGCAGGTTAGTGAGCAGCTCTGCCTCACGGTGGAAGTCCTTGCGGGCATTGTCGCTGGCATCCTTCAGTGTCTGATGGAGAAAATGAAAATGTAAAGGACAGATGTTCACAGAAGGTAGGGAACATGTAGGACAGCACTGTAAGGGTAAGACACCGACATTCTACAGCACAGAGGATGAAGTAAGTATTTTCTTAATACCTCTTTTAGAAATGCAGATGTGATCCTTAAGTGCAATTAAAAAATGGCAGTACAGTTTTCATTCCCCTGCCACGTTATCCTAAACAACATTTTTTCTTGTAAGAGGATGTAGGAATACTCATGCTCTTGCTGTGGCAAGTGTTTTCCAAACACAGAGCAAATAAACTGATCTCATCCAAAAATATACTCATACACTGGTTTGTATGCTTTAGCATTTAACTTATGGAACACCTAGTATCCTGTTTGCATTTACCTTTCTTGTTAGTTCCTTAAAATAAAACTCTGCTTGTTTAAAATACTTAGTGGTAACATAGATGTATTCTTTATGTATTATTAACGTCGTTGTTGCTGTTAGTCCCTATGGTGTGCCACACATTAGGTAGATTTACAAAAGCTTATGTCCCTGGATCGGAACTTAAAACCTGAGCCAGAAACTCCTTTGAAGTTCTGTAAATCTATTCACATGCCTAAAATTAGGCATAAGTAATGCAGGATCACTCTTGAAGTGATAGGCAGAGAGGAAGGCAGATGCAGATCAGAATTCTGGAGTGTCACTTTTTTTACCCCTTTTTATATATATAGCTCTAAATTCGTGCACATTTTAATTTTGAAAGAAATATATCAACACTGGATCAAATAGGAGGCTTAAATGTTGTATAATGAAATAATACTAATTAAACTGTCAAACACAGGCTGTTTCAGATTTCTTCTTAAGAACTACAGTTCATGAGCAAAGCAACACTTTCATGCACCAAAAAAAAGGGAGTTCCGACACCAGTTAAATGAGGAATAATTATAATTGGCAATAAACCACTAATAGACTCTATATTCAAGTGGTATAGTGGTTGCACTATAATAGTTCAAACAATATTTTTAAAACTGCAAAGGAAAGATGGCAAGTTGCCAATGTTCACAAGTTATTCTTCACAGAAACTGCTGTCTGTGCTCTCTACATCTGGATTTTAACAATACCTAGGCTTAACACAATAGAAGACAAGACAGAAAAGTAGTTGCAAAGTTTTAGCTAAAGATGCTTTTTCCTGGCCATCTAGTCACTCTGTTTTCCATCCTGAATTAATATACAGAGCAAGGGATCAACCACATTCCTCAGAAGATACACAGAACAAACTGATACTGTGCAATCATTCTACCAACAAACTGAATTTTCAGCTACAGTAGTCATGGTTTGTTCAAAATTTTTGTTCCATAGGGACAATTCTGCCCATTTTTCTAATATTATATGTATGCATGTGCAACGTACAGACTAGTAGATGACTGTCATTAAAAAACACTTGCTTTACTTGTGAAACTGCAACCCCAGGTCTTGAAAATGAAAAGCTACCACAACAAGATTCAGATGGGGGAACAAGGAGCAGGGCAGATTAGATAGCTGTCTTCCAAGTTCATGGGCTTTTCCCTGTAGATTTCAGGCTCTGTGGATTCTAGAGGCAAGAGAAATCACTTATGCCACAGCTGTCCCTTCCCTGAGGGATGGACTTGAATCTTAAATGCCTTCAGGCCCAGAATCCTTCTTCCGTAAGTTTTACCAATAATGATACAACAAGGTTATTGCATCGTCAAGGCTTCACTAGGCACGATAAGTCAGTATACACAGCTATATCATGTATATCAAATTTGCTGCCCACTATGGTCTACATACAATCACGTCTGAACTGAGTGAAGACATTTCCAAGCTCTGGGATGCGGCTTTAACATGATACAGGCACCAACCCACAGTCCAGTCTACATTATATGTAATGAAACCACGGGGAATAATTCTATGGTCATTTGAGTTTCCTCTGGTAGTTTAATGTATAAAGTGATTGGACTGTAATTCCTCTCAACAGAATTAGAAAAACAATTCATATAAAACCAATTTTTAAATAAAAGCAACCTGGAAAAAAACTGACAGGGAGAAACAGAGGCTGATCCTCTTTCCAGTGGGCTCTTTCCCTGGAAGGACAGTAAAAATGCTGACAGCTATGCCCTGTGAGGATGACATATTGCATATTTGAGAAGACGCTTTTTATCTCACAGAAACTGCAAAATTATCGTATGACAGAGCAGTTGCCATGGCAATTTTGCATTTTCTGTCAAACAGCAAAATGCAGAAAGGTCTAAAATTCAGGTAAAACTCATGCAGTATTTATCACCCACCATTGCAAAAATCTCCTTTTTGTTATTTCATGCAGTGCACAGAATAGACGCAATGCATGAGAGAGAGCTGGCACAGTCAGGCAAAGAGGAGACTGGAAGGTGAAAAAAATTATAAGTATGTAGAATTTACTTAGAAATGACACTGACTAATGCATTTAACTTGATCTCAGCACAAGACAAAAAAATAAAACCAAAATAAAACCGTAAGAGCACTGAAAGAGAAAAAGACATATTAATTACTATTATCATTACTGTCAACTACGCCAAAGCTCTGCATACAAAGCACTCTCACCAGTCGACACGAGGTGTTCCCAAGTAGGATCTGAGATTCAACCACATGTACTTTCCAGCCACTCAAGCCAGCATTAAGGAAGAGGGATAGGCTTCCTTGGGCAACAGAGGGAGCTCCCGGCTCTCACAGAAGCTCCACATCTGCCGAGTTCATCATTGTGACAGTTGGACCACTGTCTTAGTCTTGCTTAGTCTCCTCTACATAGTCCTTGTTCATCTGGTCTGTGCAGACTTGTGCTCTGTAGTGAGTGTGAATTGCCAGCTCCTTACCCCACGCTGACACCACAAAGCTGCATTCATGGGCAAGTCAGAGCAAGAAGAGGAGGATATGGTTGTCACCAACATCAGCAGGACTTGGTATCGAAATTCTCATGACATATGACCTTTATACTGTTCCAGCCTTCCCCTATGAAACCATTGCTACTGCTCCTCAACACCATACCAAGCTGAGTGGTATGTGTTCTCAAGAAATGAAGGGGTGGTTTTCCATCTTCTTGGAAATGAAGATCCAAAGATTTGGAAACCTTTGGTTTTCCTGTGCGGGTGCCATGGAAATGTTCTTGATCTCATGCACATAGCAGTCTGCTAGCTGAGCTCTATCCTTGAGCAGAACAGGGTGAATCCCCTTCCAACCTCCCAAGGCAGCAAGAGGCAGCTGCTAACCTGTGCCTTGTCAGTCCGCCTCACTTCCAGCTCTGGACAGGCTAAACTAGTGCGAGATTATGCCTGGGGATCCAATCCTATGAGGAGACAGCACTGAGCCAGGCCTGAACAACCACAGTGGCACAGCAAAATGCCTCTCAAGGAAAGAGTAACTTTTCCTTCCTCCACCTTCTGTTCTCTAAAAGTGCCTACAGCAAATAGTGTGCTGAAACTATGTGGCAACTCACGTGAGGGAAAGCTAGTACAATGCCCATGCTCACAGGGTTTGTCCCATAGCAAGCATTTCTAAACATTCTGTGCTGCCCTCAAAAGACTAAACTAATCAAAACTAATTTAACCAAATTGTCTTTCTCCTCTCCCAAGGAGCAAAAGCTCAAGCTCTTTGTGTTGTTTATGCTAAGCCTGATCTTTTTTTATCTTCCCAGAGTTTTCTGGGCCTCTTAGCTCCTAAATAATTTGCTGCAGCATGTCAGCATTTTGGATACCAGCTGGCTGTAAAGAAGAAGCAAACATGTTGAGTTATAAGGAGGGATGCTCAGAGCCAGGCATGAACCTTACAGTTGTCCAGCAACTGGCAGGCATAGGCAGCTGCCAGGGACCACCAGCATCCTGAGGGACATTGTGCAGGTGAGACTGTGTCTCCTTGCTGCTGAAATTCCCTTGGCACTAGCTCTTACTCCTCACCAAGTACATATTCCACTGGTCTCACCAAATCTACGTCATGGTGATGGATGTGTTCTGGCTTTGCCCATGGGCTAAAGCTCTCTAAAGCCCTTGCTGTGTGTCAGGAGGAGCTGCTGTTGCTGCTGGCATCAAAGTCTGCTCCTCTAAGACTAAAACTAAGACACTGCCAAATCCTGTGCTCAGCAGTAGGGTCCAAACACAGTCCTCTGGATAGTTGTCTGCACTCCAGTTAGGTCCTATCCCTTGACCTCCACTGTGACTGAAGGATACTTGTGATCTATGTTGGTACCACAGGAAAAGAGAGAAGTGTTAGGCAATTAACCCCTCTTACATAACGATCAATCCAGTGGCTCGGTTCTCCAAAAAATTTGCTCTTTAACAGCAGCCAGAGTCACGTCTTTAAGAGCCAATGGTAGAAACATAAAATGGGCATAACCTGTCCCCAGAGATAATTCTTCTCACAGCTGCCCGCAAGATGTTTATTAAGGACACTACGAAGAGTGGATTTGGTAAAAAAAAAAGAAAAAAAAAAAGAAGAAGGTATGGCAACTTGTCCAGAAAACTGACAAATTTCTCATCTAAATCCATGGAGACATCTCTACCTCTAAAGGCTGAATGCTTTTCCTTTTGAACTACGCAGAGAGGAAGTGCAGTGCAGCATTGAATAGCAGAAGTGCTAGGCTCCATTTGGTCAGGACTTTGAAACAGAGCAAGTAAATAGAAGTATTTTTATTTTGCTATCAAGGAGTTCCCTAAAGTGATAGAGAAAAGGCAATTTCCACTGTAGTTTCACCAAAATACAATAGAAAATTAATTCAGATCTAGTTTTGTCATCTCTTATCTCTTGCTTTCTCCCTATGTCTATACTATCTCCCTTCAGGGCTTAATTTTTTCTCACGAGTCAACATGACCGAACGACTCCCAAGTATCATAAAGACTGTAACCTTGGCAAACCCAAAAATGTGTTATTTTTGATTGAGCACTCTACAGGTCTATCCTCCTTTCATGTTCTCTCACTGTCAGGTCCAAAACTCTGCTTCTTGTTACCAAATTCAAAAATATGATCTACTCCGTTTCTTTTACTATATGGTTTCATCCATGTACACATGGTTGCCTAACTG